AAAGGAACTGTGGAATATGAGCCCCTGGAACTCAGTGCCCTTTGAAACAAGCTTTGGCTCTGCCAAGAGAGATGGTCTGAGGACTGGTTTATAGTTTTGCAATGGGACTCACGGAGAAAAGGTTCAAATGTGAGGTTTCCACTATACCCTGCTGTGCTGTTTGAGGGCAGTTGAGATGGGCCTTGAACCTAGGGTGGGGTGGGGTTGGGTATAGGTCTCACAAGGTTAGGAATCCAATTAAATATGCATTTGAACCCCTGCCATCAACTGGGTTCTAGTGCTGAGCACTTTGCCACAGGACTGATGGGCCTGCCAGGTTAGGGGACCCAGGATAGTGAGACCCCCCCCATCCTGCCTCAGTGCTGGTCCTGCCCTCAAGCTCTAGTCCCCTTTCTGGGGACTTGGAAAACAAAATCGCCCATTAACCTGCAGTCAGGATTCCAGTGTGCTACTTCCCTCTACAGTTACAGCCCACCCCTAGGATACAGCAGGAGAAGGTTTTCAGGTTCCTATGTGCAGGACATGTGGAGGTCTCCAGAGGTTGGGTTGGTGCCTGGAGAGTCTCTTACCTTTACTAGGTTGTTCATTCAGGAAAGCTGAGTCTGACCCTAGTCTCTCCCTCTCTGGATTCTTCCCTCTGGCTTACTTGGTAACAAACCTCCTTAAGCAGGGAGACAAGGTAGGTATGAGGTCCCCACACCTTTGCATACTTATTCCTGCTTTACCTTCTCCCAATACAGATCCTCCGGCCCGATGAGCACATAGCAAAGCAGCGCTACCTCAGTGGCAGGAATGTGCAGACACGGGGCTCATCAGAGTGGCTGTCCTTTGATGTCACTGAGACTGTGCGCGAGTGGCTCCTGCACAGAGGTAGGAGTCTTGCTGTTTTGGTTGGGTTGTGTGGAGCGTCTGGTTAGTTCAGGCAGTTACTCCTTCAGAAGGGGCTAATGAATGCAGGTTGACCTCCCCATCACCGTCTCCCAGTAGCAAAGGGCAGTTCACCAAGTTTGGGGAAGTGAGGGTCCCACTAAAAGCAGTTCTTCCCAGTTTGAGAACAAGACTGCCTCACTCTATGTAGCGTACTTTCTCTATTAGGTATCTGCCTTGGAGTTCCCACTCTCTCCATCTGTACAGGACTCAAAATCCACTTGGTATGTTCATCTAGAGATGTATCTTATTTTCCTTTTGCAGGTGAAAATCCTTTGATTGATAAGTTATCAAATCTGATTTGTATATCATAGGCTCTAAGACCTTCCTGAATAAACCAGAGCATATGCTTTAGAGAAAAATATTTTTTGAACTCTGGTGTGACCACAGATCTTGATTCTCTTGTCTGTCTGTAGCATTGTAAAGGTGAGGAAATAACAGAGGCTGTCTGACATATCTAGGCAGATGGAGACTTTAGTGGCACAGCATACAAACAGCAGTGACTGAGAAAAGAGCAATAGTTTTGCCTCTGCAACCACTTGGCAGTGCCAGCAGTTATGGGACAGCTCCCAACATGAACACTGACATAATTCACAGCTGGAACATGGGGACTGTGAGTCACAGCTAGATTGCCCTCCCAGATAGAAGCTAGGTGTCACTAAAAACTGGAATGCACGCACTGGGCATGAAGCCAGTCCCTGAAAGGATGAGCTGGGAGCTTGTGGGCTCCTTCTATTTTAGAGACATTCAATTTTATGTCCTTATGGCCCAAGTTCAGAGCCTGAATTGCAGTTAGCTTCAGACAGTAACGCTGGCTGACAGATACCATGATGTGGATAGTGTCTAGAAATCAAAGTGATGAGTACCTTACTAACACAGCAGAGAGCTAGATGTTTCTACCTGTGCACATGAGGTGGAAAAAGAGCTTCTGTCAGTCTTCTGTCACTTTATCCTGGTCCATTATGAAAACTGCTTTCACAACCATACTGTGTGACTGTTCTCAGGATGTTATTGTGGACATGAAAACAGACTCAGGACAGTCTGTGTGACTTAACCCAAAGATCAGCAGAAACAGGAAGCTACAGCCAATAGGTAGAATACCCCTAGTGAAACAATTGCTTGTGTTGAGCTTACTTGCTTTCAGGTCTCTGCCACAGATACAAGCTAGAGACCAGGCAGTGGAAAATCAGCATTATTTAACACAGACACAAAGGGCCAGGTTTTTAAAAGTTCTCAGCTTCCGACAGCCTTCATAGAGGACAACAGATATTGTTGGATGCTGAGTATTTTGGAAAATGAGCTCACCACAGGAGAGTTCCCTTTAACAGCTGTTGGTACAAATGAAGTCACCAGCCATTGCTTCTCACTCTCTGTCTAAGATGATAGACTTTTATCCCAGTCTACAGATTAGGAACTAAAGGAGAGTCTGGATTCTCTGGGATTCCCTTGAACTGGCCAACAACAAGTGAAGAATGTGTTTCTAATGGAGTCTCATCTCCTCCTCTACAGAGTCCAATCTGGGTTTGGAGATCAGCATCCACTGTCCATGCCACACTTTTCAGCCCAATGGTGACATCCTGGAGAACCTGCATGAGGTGCTGGAGATCAAATTCAAAGGTGACAAGGGGCTGGGGTTGGGGGGAATTTGATGGGAGAGGGAAGCATAGAGCTGCTGGAGAAGAAGAATCAAATTCAGGTGTTGCTCTGCATGTCTGAGTGTTTTAAATGTAGGCAAAGCCATGTACACACAGTGGTGGTGTATTTGAATTTGCATGCTGACTGTTGTAGTACTTGCATTCTGCATGTAGGCTTGGAGTGCTTGCGTGTGCAGAGAAATGCACTACTGCCCATGTCCGTGCATTCAGTGAGATAATTCTGTATTTATTCTCTCTCTGGGGAAAAAAGGCTGGCTCTGATGCATTCTCAGGCTTCCAGTGTGCTTCTGCTTTTCACTCTGGTTTCCAGTTAGGGTGATTGAGACAAATCATGAGTCCTGCCTGAAGTGGCAGAGAGTCAGTGGCTTGGCTGGATAAAGAAGTAGGAACCTCCTGGCCTGCAGCCCTGGGCTGCCGCCGCTGGCCCCCACAGGCTCCATTTCTGAGGCTGTTCTGTGGAGTGCCGGTGATCTGACATCTTTAAACCATTCATCTTTCTGCTTGTCCTGGGACCAAGGCCAAGAATGAGTGGGGTGGATTAATGGCCCCACCAGCAGTTTGCAAATGGTAAAACAAATGGCCATGAGCCTCTTTTTCAAGCCAGCAGCAATCAAATTCACTGTGGAGAGTGAGGGGTCCCGGGGGTAGGGTGTGGGGCAGCTGGGAAAGAAGGCCCGGAGTGAATAAACATGGAGATTGAGTACTTCTCTTCAGTTCAGAAGTAGGAGCCAATGTTAAATGCATCCCTCCAGATTGTTGAAAGACCTCCCTGCATCTTCACTCTCCACTTCTGCGCTGAGACAGACTTTTGATGAGGGCCATTTTCTCTCTGTAGGCATTGATAGTGAAGATGACTATGGACGTGGGGACCTGGGACGCCTAAAGAAGCAAAAGAACCTTCACAACCCCCACCTGATCTTGATGATGTTACCCCCACATCGGCTGGAGAGCCCAGGTTTGGGAGGCCAGAGGAAGAGACGAGCCCTGGACATGAATTACTGCTTCCGGTAAGGGAAATGGGACCCTTCACACTCCTGGAGTTAATCTGCCCCTTTATTCACAGAATAGCAAGGCCCTGCTCCCATTTCTGTGGCCATTTTTTTTCCTGCCATGCTGTAGGGTAAAATCCTAGAAAGTTCCAGCACATCAGAAACTCTTGGGATGTGAATCAGTGTGGTTCCTTGGGGCTCTCTTCTTTTGGACAGATCTGTGCTGGGCTAGCTTGGGATGCTGTTCCTCTGTCTCAGGACAAGGGCATAGCAGTATCCAAGAAATAGAGATGGACCCATATTGGCCTTGCTCTGGTGATCAAGGGGCTAGTCAGAGAGGAACCCACAGGGCCCTATGCTGTTCTCTTGGAGACTCATTCAAACTGTCCCTCTGAACGGAAACCTGCCACATCACTGACCAGGCAGGGTCTTGGGATGAACATTTTAGAGCCTACAGAATAGGGTCCCTGTTCTTGAGCATTTTGGTTTGTTTCTAAGATTTAGCTTCTATTTAAAGGAATTTTCCTATGTACAGAGGCTCCTCTTTTCCCTTCCATTCTAATATTATAAAAACCTTAGTCTGTCTGTCTGTCCATAACGCTTTATTTGTGCTCTGATTGGCTGTCTTGGCAGTCAATCAGAGTGCTCTAGATAGACGGGACAGATGGCGGAGCACCGCCATGACATTGGGGACTGAGGGGCCGGGGGGGGGGGGGAGGCAGGTCAGCTGGCTTCCCCTCTTGGAGGCAGAGGGGGACAGTAGTAACCAGAGCCCTGCCATAACAGAGGGGACAGAGCTGGGGAGTGAGGACAGCAGCACTGGCCTCGCCCTCCCAATCTGCTCCTTGGAGCCATGGGCCGGAACAGCCCCCCATCGCCTCCCAACAAAAGCTGGCGGGAGAGAGGGGAGGGGGCACCTGTGGCCACCATCAAGCCCAGGAGGACACGGGGTGGGGAGCAGCCCCAGCCCCAAACCCAAACCGGGTCGGGCCTGAAAGGGATGGGGCCAGACTAGCACAGGGGAGGCAGGGAACAAGGACACAGGGCCGAATGCTGTGCTCTGTCCCTGCTCCCTGCTGCCCCCCATCATTTTTGATGGGCAATTTGCTAGTATATGTCATAATGGTGGAGCCAGCTGGTGGTGGATATTGGGGACCACCATGTTTACAGACCTGCCTCTCTTGTGCTTTGCTATCTGTTTAAGTCCACGGAGAATGGAGCCCTAGCCACGCTTTCCTAGCAGGTGTTGGGCATGCTAGCACGTACTAGTCAAGAGACTGTATCTCTCAGTGGACTGTGAATTCCCTAAACCCTGGTGGGGGTGGGGTAGAGCAGAAAGTCTCTATTTCGCTGGTATTTGGATTCACTTTGTGCCAATGGTTTGTTTCAGGAACTTGGAGGAAAACTGCTGTGTCCGCCCTCTTTACATAGACTTCCGACAGGACCTGGGCTGGAAGTGGGTCCATGAGCCCAAGGGTTACTTTGCCAACTTTTGTTCAGGTCCTTGCCCATACCTCCGCAGTGCAGACACAACTCACAGCACGGTACGGCTGGTGGTTAATACTCTTAAGGGCTTCCAGTTGGGCATGGCTACTGGAGCTGTGACCCTACAAGTCTGATCTCATTGGGATTCATGTAGACCATTTCCTGTGGACTGGTAAGGGGCACTCCACCTGTGGAGTCAGTTCTGAGCTTGTCCCCAGTTCAATGTTAAGGGATGCGTGTGACCATCTTTCAGATGCGATTTTTAACAAGGCAGTGCTGACCATTTGCTATCCTGGGTAGGTTTTTGGTAATTGTTGGCTATGTCAGCCAAAATATTCAAGTCAAATTTCAGCTTTGGAGAGATGGTATTGGTGGTATCTTTTGGATTGCCATTCTGACCCACCTGCAGTTTCTGTTAGAGACAGGATTTTTCTGTTGCCTATGCTCCAAACTGTCAGCTAATGCTCTTGTACAGCTGCTTTCAGTGGGGTGTGGCTGACCTGGCTACTGCCCCAGAGATGGCTGCATTCAAATGGTGGGGAAATTCTTTGTACATAAAGAACTAAATATGCCCTCCAGGATGCATGGGGTATGTAGCAGGCTGGTTCAATGCAGAAGGGAAAATGGCTACATGAGAAGTTTCCTGTTGTGCATGGGTGCCCTTCCTTACTGAAAAATGCCAGCATAGCCCATGGGTGGCCCCATGGCGACAGCTGCAGAGAAGCCCAGTTAACAGTTTGATCCACATGCAAAATGTGCAGAAACCTATGCTTTTTGGTAACCCACTAGCTATCATTCCCTAATGCTAGACACTGGTCAGTCTTTGAGACTACTTGGGTCTGGTCAGGATCCTGAAAGTGGAACAGAAAGACAGTGGCACAAAGGAATGGGGGCAGGAGGAAGGCCAAGGGTCAAGGACATGGGGATGGTGCAGGCTAAGAGGCATAGGCTCCAACCTTCCACTGCCGTGGCTGCACAAGGAAACATGAGCCAGAAGAAGAACATGCAGGGGCTGCTACTACTTGGAGACGGAGAAGATGGAATCACCCAATGGCTACTTAGCTTCAGGTTCATTAAAAAGGTCATTAGTAGCTTGGATGCAAGGCTAGTTACCTGGACAAGGGAGACACTGCAGGAAACAGGTTAGAGCACTCTTGAAAATTTCAGCATATGTACTTCTGCCAGGCCTGATGGAAGCAGGAGGCCTGGAACCAAGGGAATGAATGAGGACAAAGGCTGGAAGCAGAACGCAGGGCAAAGAGCGGAACTCTTTGGGAATAGAGTCCCCTTCCCAGGGCAAAGACAAAGAACAAATGTGCACATGCAAGGGGTTGCATTCTCCTGTTAGCCACCATGGACAACTTTATGAAAGTCAGTGGGGCTGAAGCAATGCACATGAAAGGAGAATTTGGGTTGGTTCATATTTTCAAAGGAAAACAAACAAGAAGGGAATTAATGAGAAGCACAACTAACTAGAAACCCCAGTGGGTTCTTAGAACAATGCATCTACTGCAGTTTGTCAGCTGTGCCTGGGGAAACATAGTGAAAAACAAAAAACTCCAGGATCAATTGCACTGAACCAACCTTGCTGCTGGCTTGTACACTGGTGTCAACGTACAGTGACCCAGGCAAAGCTGGCAATGCTTTAATTCAGCATCCAGGGATTCAACTGGAGAAAAGTGAATTAAATGGATCAGATTAATAAAACAAGATGTTTCCATAGCACATTTCATTCCCCATGACAGTGGGCCAAACTCTGCTCTCATTTAAACCAGGAGCAACTCCACTGAAGGAAATGAGACCATGCTGGGGAATGTAAGAGCCTTTTTTGGCCCCATGAGGCTAAAAATCATGTGCCATTGACATGCAGCTACCTCTGGAGAGAAACATGGCAACTGCTGTAAGACAGCTATATGACTGGAGCATTTGTCAGTGGTTTAGGGCCAGCTGGTAGGAAGAATCCAGTGAGGTCCCACAGGACTCTCTTCTGACTCCAGACAATCCTGTAATGACTTGGAGGATGGAATGGAGAGCGAGTTCATCAGATGGCTGAAAGTTGGGAGGGAACTGTAGATACTTGAGCGGGTGGTATTACATCCAGCACTATTTGGAGATGTTGGCTGAAATCAACAAAATTGATTTTTTCAGCTGTCTTTTATGGAGCCCGGGACAGCATGGCCCCAAGTTGGTTACACCCAGTATTGTTAAAATTGTAAAATGGGACACTGATGGCTGTGCCAGTGCAGAGCTGGGAGGATCAGTTTTTACTTTGGCTGTCCTTGCACTGAAGTCATCTGCCACAGAGTAGAGGACTTGACAATAAACAAGGGCTCATAGGTGCTACAGTGCAGATCAGAACCTTTTAACATGGGCCATGTTTTGGGCCGAGCCTCTTGGAGGATTCTCCTGCCTGGCAGTCAGTCAAGTACAATGGTGGAGAGTGTGATAAAAACCAGTTCTGACCCATGGAGTAGCAGCCCCAGTAATGTCAGGAATCTCTGACCAGGTCCTAAATATGCTTCTTTTCTCCAGGTGCTGGGTCTCTACAATACGCTGAACCCTGAGGCATCTGCCTCACCTTGCTGCGTCCCCCAGGACCTAGAGCCTCTCACCATCCTGTACTATGTTGGGAGGACCCCCAAAGTAGAGCAGCTTTCCAACATGGTGGTGAAATCCTGCAAGTGCAGCTGAAAGGCAACCAGCCCCACCAAAAGTTGAGAGGATCTGTCACTGCTCTCCCTCCTTCTTCCAGAGCACTAGGAATAGAACCAGGGGACCAAGGACCCCAAGCACCCAGGCCTGGGCTTCCAACCTTGTGGCTCAGGATGTACCAGCTCTCTAGGGATCCGTTCTGGAGTGTTTTAGTGTCGTGTTGACTCAGTCTCCTTCCTTCTGGGAGTCATTTTGGTGACATGAAGACTGTACTCTCGATAAAGGCTGGACATTCATGGTGGAAGAGGGACACTGAATGGAGAAACTGCACTGTTTTGAAGCATGGATGGCTGAGAAAGGGAAGCAAGAGTGTGGTGAGAATGGCCAAACGTGGGGTGGGAAGAGAGACTGGCCAGTGCTTCCTGCTCACACTACAGCTGTCCCCTGACTTCAGCCTGCTCCTCTATTGTGAAGAATTAGAATTTCCTTCTGAAGGAAGAAATTTAAGTTTTCTCTGAAAAAAGAGCATTAACTGAGAAGAGGTCGAGAAAGGCACCCAGAATCTTGCTCCTCAGAGCTTCTCAGGATGGGCCTGTCTGAGAGGAGGGGAGAGCACGCTGACTTCATTTGCAGAATAGTTGAGGTTTCCTCTGTGTTTGCCATACAGCTCCACTCTTTTCCTGGAATTCCTGATAGATGGTTTCTGGGTCAGGGTGGACACCACTGCTCCTGGGGTACCTGAATTTTGGATCCATCCAGTTTGGGGTGATTACCCTCAAAGGACTCTATCTGTGTTGTGGTATGTGAGGTGCTCTAGGGTATTCAGTACCTCTCCTGCACAAAGACCTGGCCCAGGCCTTACCTGCCAAGGTTTTTAAAAAATATTAATCTCAAAAACATTGTAAAAAAATAAATATTTTGTGGGGGGAAACAATCAGAAATTGTCTGATGAAATAGAGATTTTAGCATTTCAAAGTTGTGCTTTACCTGCAACAAATATTATAAGGTAACTCTGAAACACGCCCACCATCCCCTATAACCCACTCTCATTGGAAACATTTCAGAGTAGACCAGTCTGAGGTGCACAGAGTGAAAACACTCCAGCAAGTTTCAGTTCTTCTCCTTGCCAAATGAAATAGCTTGGAGGTTCATTCTGGAGATGCATGCAGTTCCCATGAAAGGGATCTGTTGTGTATAAGCCCTGTCCCACATAAGCCCCTGACATGCTTGCCACCTCCCCAAGTGCTCTTGGAGACATGCACACAACTTTTCCTTCAGCACCTATGGCATGCAGTTCTGTGTGGCCTGTCAGCATGCCAATACAGTTAGTGGCTTAACAGCTTCAGGTATTCAGTTAGCAAGCACCTGAATGTGCCCTGCCAAGCAAGAAAGCAAGCAGTTACAGCTTGCCAGTCATAGGCAAAGACATAAGGCTTACCAAATCTGGACTTGCATGCAACTAAACCCAAGACAGTATCCCATAGACGTGCTCAAAATTCTTTCAGTTTACCAAACTTTAAAACCCAAATCTAGTATGCTATGTCACAGACGGGATCAAGGCAAGGTACAGTCCATACATCAGTCAATCTAATGTTCCTTTAGAAAAGATGTGATTTTTCCAGAGAAATATGTTGCCTTCTGCCTGCAGATCTCTCTAGATCAGTGGTGCTCAACCTTTTTGCCTGTGGGGTTGGATGGGCAATGCTTGTTTCACCCTGTGGACCAGATCCAGCCTGTGGACCCAATCTGGTGCCCAGGGTGGGACCCCATCTGATTATATAGAGGAGGGTAGGGGGCAGCCCAGCCTTGCTCTAGCCACATGAAGAAAGGCTTTGCCCCAACCAGGACCAGCAGCAGGGGAAGGGACATGACCTGGCCCCACAGGGAGAAGGGGGTGCAGCCTGGACCCTACCCAGCTGCAGAGGGAAGGGGGTGTGGTCCAACCTTGCTCTGGTGGTGGGGGGAGGGTTGTGGCCCAGCTCCAATTCATTGCAAAATCCCAGGTCTTGGGATTTTGGTGGGGGGTGGGTAGTATTAACTGCCCTTGCTTCCCCACCACCATCCTGACCCATGGGCCAGATTCCAAAGCTCCATGGGTCACATTTGACCTGCAAACTGGAGGTTGGGCACCCCTGCTCTAGATACTGGGGAACCCATAAACAGACCTGCTCCAACAGGGCTTTAGATATGCAAGTCCTCTGACTCATAGATTCATAGATGCTCAGTCATTCCTAGTCATGATCTTGAAAACTATAACAGAGCCCCCTCCCCCCCCATCACCTCACCATCCCCAACAACTGTGGAAAATGACACTTGGCTGGTAGTGCTAAGTCACCTGTGATCAGGTTCCTGCATGGACCTCAGGGCGGGTAGCTTTCCATGGAGTCCCAGACTGGTTCTCCACAAAGCAGGCAGTTGCTGTTAACGTCCCTGTGGTGCTGTCTGTCCCAATACCATCTCAAGCATTTTAAAGAGTTAAGGAAAACCCCAAGTGGTGGGCTGGTGGCTAGGGCAGGGGCAGATGCAATTACAGCTTGTGTGCTTTACTAACCTAAATCATGTAGTTAGGGCAATGTCCTCTGGTGACAAATACTGCCTGCTGACTACACAGCTTATTTCTTTTCATCTCTTTGGGTCTCCTTGACCTGCAATCAACATGATGAAATTAGCTCTGCCCAGTCCTGCCCCCACTTATTTACTGTGCCTAATCCAATCCTCTAGTAGGAAAGAGGTGCTCTCAGTGCTAGTGTTTCCCTTTCCCCCACCATATCCACTCCAGAAGAAGGGGTTGTGCGTGTGTGCATGTGTGCACACAGTGGCTGTGCCAACACGCTGGCGGATATGCTGTAAATGCTTAGCTATAGCTACGCAGATGGGGGAATCCAGATGCCAGTTGGCAGAGGAGGTCTTTCTAATCTCCTTAGCAGCCCCCTGGGAAGTTTTGGTTTACAAACTGGAGCCTGTTCCCCGGTCATTGTTCATTAGTACTAGGCTGGCCTCACTGCCCATTCAGCTGAAGGAGGGGGGGAAAAGGGGTACAAAGGGCTGAACTAGAGCACAAGACCTGATGATAATACATGGCAGTTAGAGCACTTTGAAGGCATTTGTGAAGTAACTTTGGCAGCCCACAGCACAGTGGGTCTAAATCATGAACCCCCCTTTACAAATGGAGAAACATAAGGACTTGCATCTTGTAGTGCAGCAGGACCAGCAATGGCCTGATGGGGGTAAAGAAAAGAAAATCTTTTATCGCATTTCTTGGTGACAGCACAGCAACAATGAGCTAATCCAATAACTTTCTGGTTACAGACAGGTCAAACATGTTCCTGAGCCCAGTATTAACAGTGATTGGCTCAGAATGCTAGGATGGGGAAGAAAAGGAAAAAGAGATCTGAAAGCAGTTCTCCGTATGTTCTGTTATCTGGGGGATAGCTGTGGGTTGGACAGTGGGAAGAAAGGTGGAAGCAGTAAGCCCCTTGTTGCTTGTCATGACTACAGGTGCAATCCTTTACCCCTTCCCAGGAACAAAGGTAGGTGCAAATGACCCCATCATACTGCACCTAGCTCAGTATAGCAAACTACTCAGAAATATCCAAGAAAAGGAGAAAGGAGCATTCTGCACTGCCATGAGGGACAGCCTGGGTAGGAGTATCTGTGACAAACCTTGTTCTTCATTGCTATGCATGGGAACAACATTCCACTGTGTACTACTGGAGGGTGGATACAGTATAGAAGCATTTGCAAAATAGAGCTCTTAGGGTTGGCTGTACTTTGCATCAACCCCAGCTACTGAATGGGAAGAAAAAACTGGAACATTTCTGCCCCTAGCATGTGAACTACTTCCCCCACTAACACCTCCAGCCACTAGGTGCTGGTACCTGACAGGCAATCAAAAGGCAAAATGGCACAAACTCAGACACACCTTTCTCTCACTGAAAGCAGCAACAGCTCAGCCTCACATCATCTGGTTTCAGATCTTTCCCTTTTTCTGCTCTGTTTATTTAGCATCCTTCCATTCTTCAGGCTCATAGATCCTATTCTGAATTTCCTGGCTGCTAAGAAACCTGCCTTGTTCCTATCTGAGGTGCTCATGTCATCTGAGGTGGAGACTTACATTGCACACCAAACCAGCCCTGGCCTCATAGGTGTGACAGGGTCTCACTGATGGCAACAGTCTGTGATGCAGAGGTCCTTCAAGTAGCTCCATGTTTCAATGCAGGGCAGCTTCTGTCACACTGAGGGAGGTGGAGAATTCTAGGGTCAGTTCCACCGTATAAAGGAAAGTTCTCCACCTCTTCAAAGTGTTTCTTCAATGTGTAGTCCATCAAATCCATATAAATGGGTCCACTCTCTCCACAGGCAGGGAAAAAACATTAAAAAAACAGAAGAGGTCATGCCTGCTAATTCTCATGGGGCCCTGTGTTTGACTTCCTGTATCCACTCTTGAAACTGATTAAAATGATATATAGTAATGCAGAACAACACCTGCTGACTAGGATCCTAATAACCTGTGGAATGGTCTCTACTTGGTAGCTTCAACTAGGACAGCATTTCTCAACCTGTGGGTCATGACCCAAAAGTGGGTCACAAGAATATATGGAAGGGTGGCAAACAAACTTTAAACATGGATCAACAAACTTTAAAAATGGAGAAAAAAAATGTGGGAAACCATGGCTTTTCCCTTGCAGGCTGTCAGAGTTCCTGCCCCCCACATCCGCCTCCTGCCCTACACACTGGATAGATATGAAGGAGAAAATATTTTCCTTGACTTAAAAAACAGTAATGAGTTTTAAATTCGAGTCTTTAGAATGAGGTACCCAAAAGCTGCACAAACAGGTCTCTTAACGTGAACCCTAGGATACTTAATAAAAAGAACAGCTCGCTTCTTTGCATATCTATAGTATCCCACTTTCTCTCCAAGAGGGAACCTCAGTTCTTGTCCAATGGACCTTTAGAAAAGACCCATGCTTAAAGCGATCCTTCAAGAACAGAGCAACAAACCCCTTGAAAATCTGATACCTCAAAAGCTCCTCTGCATGTTTATGTTTTAGAACTGGGAGAGGGAATCAACTGACCTGAATGGCTTTTATCCTTTCCAAGTGAAACGTTTATGCAGAGTGACATGAGGGTAGGGTCCCTTCTTTGTGACATCCTGAGTTATGTTAGAAGGAAAGGAAATAGATACCTTTTGTTCAGGGGGAAAATGGGGATTTGACTTGGGAAGGAAGCTGGGCACTGCCAGAGAGAAAGCAAGTAAATGGGAACTGAAAACAATGGGTGCTATTTTTCTTATCCTGGCTGACAGCACTGTGATTATGCCACCTATGGCTATAGATTCAGACAAGGACACAGAGTTCTGGTCACCACAATGACTTTCCAGAGAAGAATGGGTTTTAGGGATTCAGGTTCAAGTTGCTTGGCTCCTTTTAGAACAAACCTAGTTAGGGTATGAGATTACATAGGGAAGGTGGCACAAGATCTTAAGAAACTAGTGAACACAACAACCCTTTCAGGTACTAGGCTGTGATTTCATGGGACAGAGCATAACGCATTCTTAGTGCTAGGGGCCCTTGCATCTGCAATAGTACAGAGATAATTTGCAGTTGTGGTTTGTGGCAAACAAATATACTAATCCTTCAAATCTGGTGTAACAGAAGATCCATTCCTTGTGATCTGTTTGCACTGTAGAGCCAAACTGCTGGGCTGCAGACTATCCCAGCTGCAGGTGCTGTTCTGAAAGTCAAAAAAGATTTCCTGCCCATTATTAGTCTTGTGAGAGAAGACAGCAAGGATTTTCTTCTCAGATGGGCAGGTTGCTCTGGGAGTTTGTCTGGGGGACAGGGTGTGATGCCAAGAGGATGTCCTGGTCACCAGTGAAACAAGGATCTGCAGCCACTCCTGTGACAAGTGTTTGTGGTCCTCTCAGTACAAGAACCAAGCTTGCAGCAGCATCCTGAGAAAGTTCCAGAGTGGCCTCAAAGATTTTTGATAAACTCTACTGGTGAAAGAAGGCAGCAGACCATGTAAACCGCAACTGGAATATTTGGTTGACTTACAACCAGTTGTCCAGTCATGATAGACTATGACCTCCTCCTACTACAGAACACTTGTTGTAATAAATACCGTGTTATAGCCGTTTATCATTTGTTTTGGATAACACATGAAAACCTCATTCAGAATCAGGACCCCAGAGAAGGACATAACCCTTAACCTGAAGAGTTGGAGACAAATTAGCAGAACAAAAAATGGAATAGACCAAAAAGATTCTGTGTTGAATTTTTGGAACTAGAAACAACAGTGAGAACATGAGCTAGGAAGCTTGGCACAAGCAATTCAGAGGTGGTGTGTCAATTTGCTTGCAGCTTCTCCTTTCTGGGAGGTTAGAGGCATCAGGTGAGAATAGTTCTTGAGCTTAAATGACATGAGACAGTAACCACTTGCAAAGACAAAACAACCCATGTGTCTAGTGCTTCCCAGTCCAAGAAACTGGCTGATTCCATCTGCAAAGGAATGAGGTGGGTTTAGGCATGAAGGCTGACACCTGAATATGATAGTGTAGGGTGGTCCCCGGCATCTGGATTGCAGGAATCTTTCCAACAGTGCTTGTAGGACACAGGAAATTGAAAAGGTAAATCTGAGGTGACGGAGACCAAAGAACAGTGCTGCCCACAGCACATTATTTGCTCAGTCTTGTTGCCCATGCAAGCGAACACTGGGGACCAGAAGTATAGGGCAGGGTTCCTCAACTGGTGGGACATGTCCCACTGGTCAGATGGGAAGGTCCTCTAGGTGGGACTTGGGTCGTGGTGTGCCACGGCGAGACTTCCAGTTTCACTTTTGCACACTTTGGCTGCTGGGGAACTCCCCCTGCCCCCTCCCGCTCTTTGACTGGCCTCTAGGGGACTCCCCTGCCCGTGGACTGGTGAGACCAGGATTTTTTGACCTTACATAGGTGGGACAAGATGCAAAAGGTTGAGAACCTCTGGTATAGGGGACTTCCAAGGACCTATGACACTCAATTTAATATAATAGGTACAGGTCTTCCCAAACATCAGCAATTCTTTCCTTTAGTTTGGAAGATGCAAGGAAAACTCTCTTTTCTGTGGGGTTAGTAAAACCTCTCTCTATAAGGTAACAGGTAGGTCTGAATCCTGACAGTTTCCAAGCCTTGTTTCAGTGGCTCATATCCTCTACTTTAAAACTATTCAGGAAGGTAGTTTCAAAGTCAAATTCTCCCTCTGTGGAATATAATGAACTTCCTCTCCTTTCTTAGAAACCTCTGGAGAAGATGGGCTTGGATTGGCATCTTTGGGGAAGATGATCCAGGGGTCTGCAGACTACAGATTGAAAACCACTGCACTAGGAGCAGGATTCTCAGTGGCAAAAAGTCTTTTTCCTTTGATACTGCCTTAGTTTCCCACACCAACAACTATCTGTTGTCAGTCATTTACAAAAGATCTTTTAGCACCAGAAAAAACAGTAAACAGAATGGAAGGGTTAAAGAAACTGGGTCCTAGTAAGTGGTTTAGTGTGGGGCCTGGTATCACAGTAAGAGCCTTTGTGCTGATCAGGAACATGGTCCATTACAATCATTCCATTTGACTGTTTGCAAGGGACAGAGCAGCTGGAAAATATGTAAAAACCTCATAGGTTATTTCATGAACCTGGCATCAAAAAAACTGACCAAGGTTTGAAGCTGCTCAGTGTGCATTTTAAGGGTGGGTCTGCTCCCAATGCAATTTCCAGCTGCTGATGCATTCCTCTAGGACCAGCAGAGTAATCTTCATAGCACTAGGCAAACTTTGACCAGAGTGCTGCAACAAGCCACTGCTACAGCTGACAGGAGCCACCTGGATCTTCAGCTTCAGCCTTGGGTCTGGGAACACCAGCCAATTTGAAAGAGTTCAAGAAGCATTAATAAATAGAAAGAAAAATCAAAATACAAAAATAAGCCGCAACAGAAACATCCCACCAAGAAAATGGCATTTCTGACAGATTGTAAAATCCTGCCCAATATAATAAATAGAGGGGCAAAGATTGATCAGGGTGCAAATTAATAACTGAAAAGATAATCAAAACAAAATGAAATGACTTTATTCAAACAGTGTTTCCATGGCTTCTTGCCAGAATTCAAGATGGTGCCAAATGAGGATCTCTTTAGTCACATGGTCTAATAGTCCTCTTCTGTCATTGGTAGTCACATGGTATAAGCAGCATCCCTTCATGGGCAGGGAATCTTGGCTGTTAAAAGACTAGGATGGGCTGCAATGGCTGAGCAGATAGGGAGGCTTCATGTTCAAACTTGGACCTCGGGAAGCACAATGAAGACAGCTAGAGGACCTGTCTTATGTGAGCCTCTGTGGCCAGTGAGTGGAAGGTGTGGGAGAGAAGGAACCCTAAAGCTTAGTGACAGAAGCTCAGAGTCAACAGGGCACCTCAACGTGGGCTGCACTACCAGTCCCATAGTGCTCAGCTGCTCTCCTGTCTTCAGGGAGTTCTCTGAGATGTGCAGCAGGGCCTCACACCCACCCTGGTCAGAGTGTTGTGGGGAGGACAGTACAATGAATAGTCACTGCTGCGTCATCCTTTGCTTCATGCTGGGAGCAGTGCATTGCGTTTCTCACCTGCTGCTCAGGGTTAGTCCTTCACTGTGAGTAGGAGCTGGAAAAAACACAAAGCAAAGTCCATGAGCAAACTCAAGACGAGCACTCAGTATGAAACACTGCTATGCCAATCCACAGGGTACAGAATTAGCATTACATGTGTGGAACGCCCCAGCAGGGCAGACACCTCACTACAGCAGCACCAGAGCACAGAACAATATGCTAAACCCATTGAAATGAGCCAACATTAAAAACTACAGATACTCCTTAAAAGCCTAGGGACAGCAGGTATCCCTTCAACTGCTCAGGGGCAGATTCAGTGGGGGTGCAGTGACACAGATGCACCTCGCCTACAGACCATGCTGTGGGAGCAGCAGCAGGTGGTTTGCAATGCAAATATGAATCCTGTCCCCTCCACCCTGTTCTTGGCACCCTCTCTCTTTCCTACTTTCCCAGGGGAGAGGTGCTCCAGAGCTGCTCCTGCCCTGCTCCAGCCAGGAACAGCAGCAGCAGTGGGTGGGTTCCTCCTCCCAACCTGGTGCCCTTAAGTGTTCCCTGCCAGCCTGGGAGCAAAGGGAAGGTGGGGGAACCCACCCACCACTGCCATCCCCTGTTCAGCCCAGCTGCATCATCTCTGGAATCCCTCCCTCTACAATCCCCCCAAACCACAATCCTCCCAATTAATTTCACGGTAGGAAGGGGGCTCCAGAGCCATTCATACTCTGTCCAGAGTCACTGCAGCCGGGCTCAGTAGGAGACAGCAGCAGCGGTGGCAAATGGGTTCCCCTGCCTCGATTGCTCCCAGGCTGGCTGGGAACACCCAAAGGGAATGGGCAGAGAGAAGGAAACCACCTGCTGTTGTTCCCTGCTGGAGTGGGGCAGGAGTGGCTCTGGAACCATCCTCCCACCTTGGCCCAGATCAGCTAAGGCAGAGGTGTCAAACCTTTTTGAATGTGGGGCCGGATCATGAACTTTTTATCACCCAGTGGGCCAGTGAGCCATATTCAAACACCCTCTGTCCTGGACCAAAGAGCCCCTGCCTGTGTAGCCCTACTGCACCTGCCTGTTACTGCAAGGTTCATGGTAGCTGCTGGTGGGCAGGGGTAGGAGGGACCCATTCTGCCTCCAACCATCTACTGCCCCAGAGACTGAAGGGGAGAAATAAATAGCTCCACATCTCCATCCCCCAAGCAGCGCAGCCCCACGAGCTGGTGCTGCCTGAGGGCGGCTGGAACAAGGCGGCTACTGCACCGCAGCCTCTTACTCGCCCGCCCGCCCGGCCCCACTCACTGTGGTGCCCAGCCGCCCGCACATGCAGCCCCAGTGGCCTCAGCGCTGCAAGCCCGGAGCACGGGGTCCAGCAGACCCCGGCTCCCACCACCTTGCCCTGCAGAGGTCATGCCAGGACCCCGGCTGCCGAGGCCCCCTGTGCTGGCTTCCCATGTGCTGCTGGGGACGGGAGCACGCTGACCAGGTTGGCACCAGCCAGCAGAAGCGGCAGTGGAGCCGTGTGCTGCTCAGGACTGACCGGGGCAGGCAGGGGAAAAAGCAGCTGAGCCCCTGTCCACCCGGCTGG